TGACCTACTTGACGAAAACTTGAAGTCAGATCTGGCTCCAGCCCCATGAAAAGCCTGTGATGAGCAGTGGGACAGGTGCCCCAACTCTCAACTGGACAGGGGTCACAAACCAGTCCTTACGACCCAGTTGGCCTCCAGCAAATAACTTCACAGGCTTCCGGTTTCCTCATCCTTTAATAGTTGGGAGGCTTGAAGAAAGGGAAAGGCACACCATCATTTACCTAACCTGGGTGCTCCTAGAGATTCAGTGAAACCTTCTCATAACTCAGCCAGAGACTCAAAAGTTAAACATTGTAACTCATTTATAATCCTCCCACTCGGAAGGCTGAAGCAGGAGGATCCTTCCTATCATGACCAGCCAGGGCTATGTACAGATATTGTCTCAACAAATAAAGACTATTAAAAAAAACCCATTGAGAATTTTAAGCAGCAGTCTCTCATGGGTGTGTCCGACTGTGTGTGGTATGGACCTGGCAGTGTGGGTGTGGGCAGCAGCAGAGGTCAACAGCACCAGTGCCTTATTGCATCACTCTCCTCCTTTTTTCAGTTTTGATTTTTCTGTTGTTTTTGAGGGAGGCTCTCATTACATATCCTTGGCTGGCCTGGAACTCACTATGTAGACCAGGTTAGTCTCAGACTCATAGACATCTGCCTGTCTCTGCCTCCCAGGTGCGGGCATCAAAGGTGCGCATGACCATCTTGTTTCATTTTACTTTATTTTACTTTTAAGATGCTAGAGGTTAAACCCAAGACCTTGAACAAGCTAAGCACACTGTTGGGCTTTAGCCCCGCCCCCTTTTTTTTATTTGGTTTGTTTGTTTGTCTGTTTTGTTTTGTTCTGGTAGGAGCGTGGCAGACATCCTCGAAGAAGCCAGAGCAAAATCAGGGAGCCATTTGGAAACAGAAGTGATCATTTGAGAGGTGATGAAGGGATTTGTGTGTCAGTCATTGAGTTAGACACACCACACCAGGTCCATGTCACCTTCCCACCAACCCAAGAGATGGACCACGAGACAGCCACGACAAGGCAATGGTTCAGTGAATGAGTAGCTGCCTGAGTTGAAGGCCTGGAGGATTCCTGGTGAGCCCCTGGCCTGTAGTCTACACCCACAGCTGAAGAAACTGGGTGTCAGTGAAGAATGACAGAGATCGTGGCAACCACAGCAACAGAGTGGATGCACTCACCAGCAAGACATGACCTCAAGCAGGCTAAAAAAAAAAAAAAAAAAAAAAAAAAAAAAGCGGGCACTTTTCTTTGGAGGTTGGAAGAGGGTTCAGCCCACATTTAGGGTGGGTCTTCTCATTTTGAATAATCACACCAAAATGGATAAATAAATAAATGATTCCTCTCAGGCATGCCCCTCTAGAGACTTGTCTCATGGACGGTTCTAAACGTCAAGTTGACAGTCCATATTAACCATCAGAGCTAGTCACTGAAATCTCATAGTTGTGATTTGTTACTTACCTATCATTACATTCTCTCCTCATAATTATTGTGTAAATACAGGTAAATCTGATGGGCCATGGCTTCCTGAATCATGCAAAGGGCTCGGAAATCTTTATGGCTAAACACAGAAATGCAGATCGAGCTGAGGTAGTATAGCATGTGGAGCTGAGGGTGTGTCTCCCTGGAAAGCACTTGCCTGGCATACACAAAGCTATGGACTTGATCCAACCCCATCACGGCAACCAAGCAACACATGAACCTACCACTTTGTAAGAAAAGTGAGAATGTGTTGCAGGGTCCCGCCTGATCCGCAAGTTCATTCAACTGCTAATCTTCCTGCCTCAGCCTCCTGAGAGCTGAGTTTACAGGCTGTGCCCCATCCCTGACTTTCTGAAACTCTTTTTGTTTTGGGTTTGTTTATTTTTTTAATTGTGGAGATATTTTAATTTCCAGATGTCTGCAAGATGCTACAGATGACAAACATCTGCTTTCCCAAACACAATAAATACTTTAATCTAGGAAAACAAAAACAAACAAACAAAACCCCAAACTATGCTTTGGAGGCTCAATATCACAATGCAGATTTAACTCCAAGTCCCAACTAAAATTGCCCTTAATAGCAAGCTACCTATATTTCTACTCCTTTGATTCTAAGACCATTTTACTTATGAAAATACTGAGCTCCAGAGATAGGAAGATGATATGCCCAAGATTCCACAGAAAGACAGAGGCCCGACCTGACCTCAGCATCCTCCTCACTGATTGCCGTTTTAGCCACTATACTCGACTGTCCCATTTAAACCCATATTTGCTTCTCTCACTTTTAACCTTGACCCTGACCCCAGCCCCAACCCACAGGGGACTCTGGTGCTTCTGGCCCACCCAGTGGAAATGTCTTCTTTTTGTTTCTCAGCCAATCAATCTTTCTATCTTTCTTTCTCTCAATTTCATGGCCCAGAAGCCTCCCTCTTGACCAAGTTTGAAACTCTTTTTGGTTTTGTGATTTCAGATACAAAATATTCTTCATGGTTTTGGTTTTCTGTGTGCTTTGTGTGTACACAGGGTGTCAGATCCCCTGCAGCTGGAGTTACAGATGGTTGCAAGCTGCCTTGTAGATGCTGGGAATAAACCTGGGTCCTCTGGAAGAAGAGCCAGTACTGCTAACCACTGAGCAATCTCTTCAGTCCCTAGAATATTCTGCATTTTAAAACTAATTTTTCTTAATTGCAGTGCCAAGAATTAAACTCAGAGCCTCAAAAGCATTGTCCAAGGGCTCTATTACATCTCAGACCCAATCTTTTCCTTTTTGACTTTATTCTTTCTCCAATATGCTGCAAACTAAAATATAAAGGAAAACGTTCCTTCTGCTATTATAGCCAGTAAATAGGCATTTGACTCATCATAAATGACTTTATTAAGAAACAATTTCACGCCGGGCAGTGGTGGCGCACGCCTTTAATCCCAGCACTCGGGAGGCAGAGCCAGG